GGGGGTCGGAGATCATGACCACAGAAAGGGCCGCGCCCCTGTTCTGTCCACACAACCTCACACAACCCAACTGTGAACCTCAGAACTCTACTGTTTTGTACAACTATGAAGTAAATGAAGCTAAGCTGGAGCTGACGCCGTGTCTGTGGCCGTTCATCAGTTCATTTTATAGCATGGTATTAAATGTATATGAATATATTCAAATGATATCTATATTTTCCTCATTACTCATTCTGTGCTGCTTCACTCTGGGTCTTCAGCTTGTACATGGCTTTTTTATGATATTATAAGAAAAATGTCAAGAGGAAAGAAAAAAAAATGAACGTTTGTAAAATAAAGACGCTGATTTGGCTCCAGCTCTTTGTCTCCACTGGACTTTTCTTTGACCTTTGACCTGTGGACCAGCGTCTCGTCTGTTGGCGATGGGGGTTTTGACAGAGGAATGGGTCAGTGGAATATTCTGTTTTTGGTCCCTCTGACCTTTGACCTGTACAGTCTGTCTAATGTGTTGGCTAATTATTAGACTGGACTGGACTGGACTGATCTGGTCTTGACTGGACTGGACTGGACTGGACTGGACTGGACTGGACTGGACCGGTCTAGTCTGGACTGGTCTGGACTGGACTTTGTCAAAGGTACCAGTAAAACTGAACAACAAAGAACTTTAAAAAAAAAAAACATTTTATTGTTAACAAAGGTTCGATGTTTTGTTTGTGGTGTGAGGAGCTTCTACAGATGAGGTGAACGACGGCCTCTACAGACTGAACCAGTCCGGTGTTCTGGTCCTGAACCAGGTCTAAACTGACCCTGGTGACCGTGAATCTACCCTGGTATTTGACTTATTTCTTACAGTTCTTACAGTAGTAGTAGTAGTAGTAGTAGTAGTAGTATCTGCCCTGGATATATTTTTAACTTCCTGACACCGTTATCTATTGTATTTTAAATGAACCCCTCTGTTGTAGGTCCACCTTTTGGCCTCTAGAGGGAGCCAGACTACAACAAGTTCACTGTACGTGACTTCTAATAAGGACAGGATTTTACAGTGTGTTGCTCTGATGTTTGACAATAATGTCTGTAGTAAAAGTCGATTCACGAACGAATCGTTCAGAGTCGATAAGTCGTTAAGGTTTGAGTTAGATTAATCTGGATTAATCTAGATTAATCTGGATTAATCTAGATTAATCCTCAGCTTCTCTGTGATAATCGGTTGACGACCAAAATAATGATAACAAAATAAAACAGAAACAGAATTCTAGATCAGCAGTTCATCTTCTGACGTCACTCACTAACTCCACATCGCTCTGACACAGTATGTTGTTGTTCTGTTCTGTTGTTTCAAGGGCTTGCATTTTCATCATTACCAGCAGAGGGCGCCCTCAGCTCAGGACCGACTCTGGGAGCAGTCACGTCAGGTGACGGCAGCTGAGTAATAACTTGGAGTCTTTCTGTCGCGTTTTTAGATTCTTGATTACGTGACGTCACACCGAGAAACGCGGAGTGAGAGTGACGTCACTGACGTCTGAGCCTGTAAAAACACGAACAAATACACAAAATACTGTCATGTGTAATGTTCCAACTGCTGATACCCAACGTGAGGGGCAGGTCCCTAAAACAGTTGCACTGTACAGTACTGCACTGTACTGTGTAGTACTATGTACTGTACTGTACTGTCCTGGTCTGTACTGTGTAGTACTGTACTGTCCTGTACTGTACATTCAGTAAATGTGACTTTTCTAAAATATAATCAACTGCATTTTCATTTTTTTATCAAATGATTCCACCGTCAAAAACTTCAAATGACCAACATTTATCAGTAACGCAGCCCAGCAGGTGTGTGTGTGTGTGTGTGTGTGTGTGTGTGTGTGTACAGAATAATTACAGCTGAATAATTGAAGAACAGTTGTCTCATAAAATATGGATAAAACATCGGTGGAGACAAGTCAGTGATTGGTCGGGTCACTTCATGTCCAGAACAGATGAACATTTGATGAAGATCAGACCCTGGTCTCCTCCTCTTCCTCCTCCTCCTCCTCCTCGACCAGTAAACAGCAGACTTTTACATTTCTTCCACCTCCTGACACGTTGACACCTCTCTCCCCCCCCTCCCCTCCGCCCTTCACCCCCTCATCATGAATAATATATCAGCTGTGCAGACGGCCAGAGTCCAATCCTCACTTCAAATGTTGGGGTGAGTTGTGGCGACAGAACCAGACAAAACGTCGGCGCCCCCTATTTTAAAAGATGGAGCCAAAAGGG